CATAATTCCCAGCCTTCAGTGGGAATCTCTTATATCAGGCTCAGGATAAAGCAAAGATACTGTGGGCTGTCCAGTCCTGGCACTAAACATCTGTCTTTAGTCACCGTTCAGAGACATCATATCATTTGTGCCAGACTTTTACAGAAGGAAGTATTATGATTAATTGCTATGTGCTTGTTTTGCCAATGGTATCTCCTTATGGAGATGAGACTGTTTAGTTAAGAGTTATGTATTTGACTAGAATGAATTACTAAGCCCATCACATACAATAACATAACCTGTTTTTTTTAACTGTATTAGTATATGAATCAATCCATGAAGAATAAGCCAAAGAAAGAGATACGAATCACTGTTGGTGAAAGTTTTAAGTTACACTTTTTTGCAGCAAGTGGCATTTACATTGAAAAAGCAATCTGAAAAACAAATTTTTAATAAAACTTAGTTTTGGAAAGAAGTAAAGCAGTGATAATACTATACTATTTTGACATTCTTGGAAGGGAAGGCATTTTATTTTAAGTATTTTTATTTAGATTAGAATGGGATTAGAATCCCAAATGATGACTGGTAATCATCATTTCTTTGCACAAAATACTCTCTTTCCAGCACCCGAAAACTGAATTAAGTTAGTTACCTTCTGTAGAATAACTTCTGTAGAATTTTAAATAAAACAAAATGTCCTGTTCCTACACAATCATCCTCAGAACACTCCTTGTCAAACACTCCTTGTCAAACTTGACGCATAGCTTAGAAGCTTCCTGTGCTTTCGTCTGCTGTGGTTTGTCAGAAATTTATAATGTATCTCCTGGATACCTTACGAGTGTAGAGATACTTAAGAGAATGTGGTTGCAACTTGAACTGGTTCAGCTCAATCACAGCTGCGATACTGAAGACAGTACGATCTACTGTCAATGGATTTGTTTATTTTTCATCTGTCCAACTTATTTTAAGCAACATACATACAAGAATTTAAAACGATCACTTGCTTAGTAAACCTGTCCTGAGGTCCAGTATCCTTAGTGTAGCCAGATGGACTGTCCTTTCTCTGGGATCTTGACCAATGAGGTCTTCTAGCTGATTACATGTCTCTCTTGAGAGCAGTCCTCTGCATCCATAGGCTCAGAAAAGCTGCAAATGATTAGAGGAACTGTACAAAATGACAGCAGCAACGATAGAAAATTATAATTAAAAATGTTGCAAGTGTACATACATTAACAGAGACTTCTACAGTCCTGTAGGCCAACAAAGAGCATCAGCAATGTATTCAAAAAGGTAGCATGAAGGTAGATAAGATACCACATTCCACTGTTTTAACGATACCTAGATATCACTGAAAGCTGACCAAAACCAATGAAATTAGAGAACAAAATTTAAAAACTGTTTGTTTTTTTTCCAAATAGCAAACAAAACAGAGAGAGGGATAGCAGTCTTCTTATCCTTCTGGGTACCCACAACTATTTATTTTTTAAGGAGCATGGAAGCAACTTCCAGACTGAAAAACATCCTTGTTCTCTGGACCTTTGGTCTAAACCAAAGTCTTTGGTTTAGACTTCAAACCAAACTGTGAAAGGGTGTAAAGAAGAGTAAGAAATGAGAAATACGGTGCCAAAGGGAACTCAGCAAGCAGAGAACGAACAGCCTTTGCTTTTTGGAGACTTTTATCAGTCTCCCGTCAGCTAATTCCAGAGCTGCTCATCATCTGACAGGAAAAGTAGCAAGCACTGTATGCTCCAGTGTTGCCCTCACACAGGACATCCTTGTCTCTGGAAACCTGTGGTCAGAGGACAGTGCAAAGTCACTGGGTCACCTTCTCTGTGACACCCTTGCTTGTGGCCAGACACTGTGGACCTGTCCTGGAGATGGTGGAAACAGCTATTAACAAAGAGATGTCAAAAAACAACAGAAGAAAAGAGAAGATTCAGAATTATTAAGGTATTTCCTCCCTTTAACAGCTCTGTAGTTTCCTGTAATACCAGAATAGCCCAAGAGAAAGCCTGTACTTTTTATCTTCTATGCAACGTTTTGCAGTCTTTTTGGGCAGCTGAACCTTAACAGAATTCACAGAAATCTGAATGCCTTTTGCCAACTTCCACCTGTTTGGATAGCAATCGCCCTCTTCTAAGTCATAACTCTAAGCTAAAATACTGTAATTAGGTGCAATGGAAAGAGACGAGAGAGGCCAAACAATTAAGGACTTCCTCCTCAATTTTCCAGTCCCAGTTAGCAGGCAGAGAGGAAGGAAGGATCCACGACAGAACCTGACACCAAACTTCAAGAGCTGCTGTTGAAGTGCTCGTATCCAGTGAGCGGAAGTTGCTTAAGTGCATGGTACCAGCATAGGTGCTGTGGAAACAGTGCACTTGTTTTATTAGAGAAGACCCAGAGTTAGACGTTCTTCCAATAACTGATAATAATTTTTTAGGCTGCAGGTGTGATGAGGACTACCCTCTCCTTGAGATTTTCAATAACCTGACATACCTGCTCCACTCCTGACATAGATGTCCTGAGAAGAAACAGTAACTGAGTTTCAGTTTTTGTGAGTTGGTGTCACAGCTTCAAGTAGAAGTGGAAAGCTCAGTTGGGAACTTTACGTTCTTCTAAAAAATCTTTTGCTAGTTATTATTTGGGTCTTGTTGTTTCAAAGAGAAAATCCAGAAGATGCAAGACTAGCACTGGTTGTAGCAGCAGCAGTAACAATCATTGTTAGGATTTTTGCCCTAAGGTCTTTTTTCCATGTGGGTTCTCTGATGTTTAATGAGAGCTGAACTCGTATTACAGCCTTTTTCTTGGAAGAGACAGCAGCTAGATCTCTCTCCTCAACACTTCTGCTCCTTTAGACAAAATTTGTAAATCCTGGCTGTCTGTGAGACCTTGTCAAACCTTGACCTTCTGTTAAACTTGTTCAAACTGGCCAAAAGTTAAAAAATATATATCAGAGAAGGATAGGCAGGGCACACAACTAATGCAGAGAAAATCTAATTCCTCCATTTCCTCTCCCTGTAGATATACAGGAGGCTTGACAGCCAGAAACACTCCCACCAGCTAAAGGAGACTCTTCCCCTTTATCAACTCACTAGAGTGAGACAGCCTCTGCCCATATGACCTTGCAGCCATTTTCAGCTCCGTCCTCCATCCAACTTGCTGCACCAGAAAGCTCTCCAGAAATAACATTATTTTTCAAAACTGGAAAATGGCACAAACCACCCCAAAGGAGAGAATGACAATGGAGTGAGTTCAGCGCAGCTCATGAACTGACCCTCCCTGCCAGGGACAGGAAACTGGAACTTAAAGAAAAGAGACTGAATGGAACCAGATTGAATGAAAGTGCCAGAAACCGCTGGCGATCAATAGCCAGATCCTGCCAAAATGCTAACTCACCCACATACAAGAGAGACAAAACTTGCAAAGTTTGACAACTCTTTGGTAGATTTTATCACAACTCTACAGTATGCCTCTCTGCTTTGCAAGTCTGTGCATACAATAGTTTGCAGCATGCACGTTAAATGAGGAGAAATGTAGTGATTAGAAATATTTCCAAATGATAGTCTTAATGTTGGGGATCAGTATAGTTTGAACATCTGATTTCAATTCTATAATGTTTATGATTAATGGATGTTGATGTAGCACCCCAAATATGCTTATAGTTTCTGTTCAAAATGGTATCCTTCAATAATTGCTATTAGTAATTACTAATAGAGCTGTTAAATATGAACTGCTAACAGAGGTTACACACCACTGCCAAATGGACTAAACATTGGACCAAACAGTGCAGAAACAAACTAAATCATTCTTTTTGAACAGAGAGAGCCAGATTTGCCACTGCCTTAAATTTCGTCTAGCCATTTAGATCATGTCTATATAGGGTAACTTCTACGAAAATTAAGTTATAAGTACGTAATAAATCCATCTACAATATTCCTTGTCCAGGAAGAACAGAAAGTAATTTTAATTTGTAAAGTAATAAAAGCTGAATGCCAAATTGTAATGCTAAAATTGAAGTCAGAAATTACATGAAGACAATTTTTCAGAAGCCGTATTTTTTTTGATGTAATATTTGAAAGTGATCAATTCAAATTCTGCTTTTGAAAAATTTTCTGAGCTTTGATGCTTACTCCAAGGTTAGCCCAGAACAACTATTACATGGCTAACATTAAAAGTCTCAAAACAAAGTGATTTATAATGGAACCAGAGAAAATAAATCACTATTTCAGAACTTCCTAAGACACCACAGATTAGATCCAGAAGGTCAGACAAAGTTGTCATTGAGTATTTGAGCTCTCCCTGCTGCAGCTGAGGACCACAACACACAAAAAAGTGAATTCAGTTAATGAAATAAGTAAGATATACACAATGATTCATGCCTGCTAGGTATTATTGGTTTTTTGGAGAGGCTATTCAAAGATTATGATCTATAAAGATTGTAATATGACCACAGTCAATAACCTTCAGCAAATTAAGAAGGAAGGGTTTATCTGGCTGGAGGAAATAGATAAATTCACCAACGCTCTGCTGAAGTATATTTGACCATATTTGACCACCAAATTGAGAAAAGTCATTAACATCCTGACTGAGTGGTTTTCAGATAAGGTATTTTCATGACGGACACGGTGTGGATTCAGCAAAGTTTTCCCTTTAACAAACATAGCTTCAGTTTCAAAGATTTGATTAGGCCTAACACCATTAGGGAACCATTACCGACTTTATGCTGTTGTTGTTACTGCTTTAACTATCAGTTTCTGAACCAAAAACTGCAGGCAGTTGGCTTGACCAAGAGTCAAGGTTTAGGAATGCAAGAGCAAATCCAAGGTACAGATGAGCTTCAGATGCGGACAAGCTTCATAGGGTTTAATAGGCTGTCCAGAGTTTGTCAGGTCACAGAGGCTTTTTTGTGTGTGCGTTTCTTTATGTTTTTTGTTTGTTTGCTTTAAGCATTGCTGGCCTCAGCCAGAGCAATCAGAATTCATATGAGCAGTTACTGCATGCAATAATTAAAAAAAAAAGCCTCACAACAAGCTTTGCTGTTTTTATTGTATACCATTTACAAAAAAACAAAACAAATGAAAGCGATCTTCTTAATAACAAATCCTTGATCACCACCACGTGTTTCGAAAACAACCAGATGTTCACAGTTTAAGAAGCCAAATAATACTACTACTTTTTGTAAATGTTAATGGTGAAAGAACAATAATAATCGTTTTAGTCAATCATCATTAGTACTTGAAAGTACAAATATAAATTAAATAAGGCTCAAAAAACTTGTACAATAAAATCTGCTATAAACAAAGCTAATTAAAAAGAACTGCTCTCAACCTGTGTTGTGGGTTTCATCTTGTTTTAAAATGAAAAGCAGTATTTATTTTCTGAAGCATCCAGATGAATGTTCACATCCAGATGTCCTTACAAAGAAACACGATCTTCATTCTTTCCTCATTTTTTAATCTGTTTACATTATATTTTACTTTTGGTTGTCTTTTTCTTCCTTGGCAATCCTCTTTGTCACACCACTGAAATACTTCTCACGAAAAGAATTGTGTCCCTTGTACGGCATGTATTGACCATCCAATGAGTAAGAATTCTGATCTTGATCCTGCATGGTATCAAAAGGCAAGCATTAGAATTTATGGTAGCATGTTCGGTGCGCACTGTCATTGTTTATCCTCAAAACTTTTTAAAATAATTGTGAGCAAAAGCAAGTATTTTGCCACTGATTTGCAAAAATTAAGTCATTAGATTAATCGAAAAATTCTAAAGATACAAAGATAAGTTTTTCATTAGGATTAAGAAGAACAAAGACATCCTACCACAAACTGTAATATTAAACACAAATGAGAACTCATATGCAACGGATAATACGTAATGTGACATTGACAAATATAATCTCTAAGCAGAAAAGTTTTTTTCTTTTTTTTAGTATTTTAAGTTCTTTTTCTTTTCAAGTATTCATTCAAATTTCTATTATTCTACTCCGTGCAAGTTGTCAGTATCGGACACTTGAAACTTGAACTATGCTGAATCACTGGAACATCTCAGCTACCATCACTAGAATTCAAGCCTTCCCTGAATGAATGGAAGCATAAGTACCATGCCACACAGTCTTTTGTAACAGAAAATCTAAAGATTAGTTTCTGGAAAAATACCATGTGGAAAATCCAATCACTCAGAGGTTTGTGGAAAGCAGATATAAACAGGAGAGGAACACAAATGGCTAACATGAGTTCCTACAAATACTGAAGCGGTACAGAGGATATTTTCCTTGTTTAGCTTTTACTTACCTCTGAAAGTTAAAACTGACATTGTAAATCCTTACACATAATACTTATTTGACATCAGTCAAGAATACAGTTTAGAAGATTCGACCATTATATGCCCAAAGATTTAGTTTGTCACACATAATGGTTTTATACAATTAAATATGAAGATACTTGTCAACTATTGTTATCAATATCCTAAGATAAATGATACATCAAACTTAAATTTCAGTGCTAAAGAAAACAGATGGTGACATTAAAAACAGTTTAGCACTTATGGTCGATGTCAGTTTATCAAACTCACTAACAAGATGGAACTGATATAAACAGTCTCTCAAGAAAAAACAAACTGTGCAAAGAAAAAATAAAACCAAGCACACAACAGAACTAGAACTCTTCTTTGCAAAGTGTTTCTTCTCAATGCATGCTCATGGCTTACTGCAAGTTTTTACTTAAGCAACACAGCAACATAACAGATTGGTTCATTACTTAAGCTTACATTTCAGGTTTATTCATTTGTACTTGAAAATAAGGTTGCTCCAGAATGCTTTAGCACAAGTAGCAATAACATTGAAGTAAATAAAGTCTGTATTTTCATACATCACCGAATTAGTAAAATACAAGGGTGAATGAACTCTAGTGAACGTCTCTCCTTTCAGGTATTTTGTAGTCTTTCTAGGTTTTCACGTAGACAGGTCAACATCAGACCCTGCTTTGGAGTACGCACAGTGCAGTAATATACATTCTAAAGGAGTGAAACAAAGCCTAGTAACACAGCAAGATGTACGTGTGCATGTACAAGTGCCCTCTTCTGGACACAGTGAGATATCCCTATGAAAGTAGTTCTCATCTACTATCCTAGCAGATACCAGTGGCATGCTACTGGCTTAAATTAAGTGGATAAGTGTTAAATTTCACGTGGAAATCTAATGTGTAAAACATGCACATCATCATGAGGAAATTAGTTCCATTTAAAGAGTGAGAAGTTGGAAACTAGTAGGAGAAAATGACCTAATAAAACCTATTAAAAACACAGTACTACCTATTGTCTTTTGATCACCAGGTGAAACACAGCCATCTCTAATACCCTTCTCGGGCTCATAATCAACAGACTTAAAATATCCATGGGAAAAATTTCTAGTGGGAGACAGAAAACAAGGAGGACTTAAGACACAGAAGATATTCTCTTCTCATAGAAGAGAACAGAACCCACTCATAGAACCCACTGGTTCTCCATTATCACAGAATCGTTTAGGTTGGAAGGGACCTCTGGAGATCATCTAGTCCAACCTCCCTGCTCAAGCAGGGTCCTCTAGAGCAGTTTGCCCAGGATCACATCCAGACGGGTTTTGAATATCTCCAGGGAAGGAGACTCCACTACCTCTCTGGGCAACCTGTTCCAATGCTCTGTCACCCTCACAGTGAAGAAGTTTTTCCTCAGCTTCAGATGGAACTTCCTGTGGTTCAGTTTCTGCCTGTTGCCTCTTGTCCTGTCGCTGAGCACCACGGAGAAGAGGCTGGCCCCATCCTCTTGACACCCTCCCTTGAGTACAAGTATCTGATTGATATCGCCTCTCAGTCTTCTCTTCTCGAGGCTGAACAGGCCCAGCTCTCAGCCTTTCTTCAGAGGAGAGATGCTCCAGTCCCCTCATC